CGTGATGTAAGGTTATACTCCTAGCATGATCGTGATAAGACCAGGACCTATCTGCAAAGCAGCGCCAGAGCTGATGAATGTACCTTTTTCAACTGAGTTTTCCTGTCAGAAAGTAGATGGTGACAGGGAAGAGAGAGAAAAAGAAAAGGAGCAGAGCAGGACAATGTGACTGGCAAAGAGCAAGGTGAGACCTTCAGAGATGGCTTCTGCAGAGAAACGAGTGGCTGTCTGAGGCTTGGGTGTAGTCTGAGGTGCTAAGCTGGGCCAGATAAGCCTTTCAAGTTCTTGTTCCTCGGCCGCTCCTGCTAGATTAAAGTCTTGGAGAGATCCCAACACTTGCAGCGAGCAATTTGCCTCTTGCTGAGTACAGACAGCTAAAAGAGTTAAATAAATTCACTGTAGAGGTTTGTGTTCCCCGCTGTGACTCTGCAGGGAGCCTGGCCTGCATAGTTTGGACTTCAGCATCCAACATTTAGATGCTGAAAGCCAGGTGAGATCCCTTTGGATGGAAGGGATCTCCGGTGTCTCTGCTCCAACCCACCTGGTCAAAGCAAGGCCAACAAGATCACGTTGCTCTTGGTCACGTCCAGGTGAGGTCTGTCTCCAAGGATGGAGATTCCTTCCCTGCCCTCAGGCTCCTGTTCCAGGGTTTGACCACCCTCACAGAGGAAACATGGGCTTTGAGGAATCTGTTCCAGTGGAAGCGTCCCTGCCCATGGCAGGGGGGTTGGAATGAGATGATCTTTAGGGTCCCTTCCAACCCAAACCATTTTATGATTCTATGACATGATTGTATCTCACAGGAATTTCTTTTGTCCTGGCTTTGGCTGTCATATTGTGGGCATACAGTGGGCATCAGCAAGGCGTGAGTGAAAATAAGCCCTGTCTCAAGCCCAGGAGGCCTACAAAGTTCTCAAGGTCAAGAAATATGTTGACCATGGGTGCTTTCTTCATCGTTTCCAAAGTATCAGAGGAGGCTGAGGGAAATATAAGGTCCCTGAACTCTTTCCAGGGGTCTGGAAGGAGCAGCTGGGGGCTGGATGGGCTCTGTAGAGCCTGAATGGCTTCAGGATATCTGGCAGCACTCAGTTTTACCTCTTGATTCAACCTTCTGTTGGTAACCAAGACAGTCACGTGCGTAAGGCTGACCTGGGTATCCGGACATAGCCTCTAGAGGTCATATTTGGGCATGCCACCTCCTGCTTAGCTAGTTAGTACTTCAGAGACACAGCTCTGCTCTGCCATAAAACAAGCCCCAGATTTTAATTTATCTACACACAGCAAGGAGATGCATCTCTCTCGGCTCCCCCTGACTGTCTGGGAATCTCCAATCCCTCTCCAATTTAAGCGGAAGATTTCAAAGCCCTCCATAAGTAGGTATTTTTCTCTCCTGATTTAAGTAGAAAGACAACAAGCAAATGACATATGCACAATAGAGCAGGACACAAACGTTTATTACTCAGCTGAGCCTTGCTTCACTCCTTGGTCAGCTCTTCCAAGGAGCTGACTCGTTCATAATAAACCCAGAACATGGGGCTTTCCTTGTCATAATAAGCCACAAGCAAAGAGGTGGCTCTCTTTGCAACACATCTGCTTGGGCAACTGGCAATACAACCGCTCCAGGGCTTGGCCTGAAACTTCTGGGAGTGGAAAACACTTCCCACGAGTCTCGGTGTCCCCAGGGCTCAGGTGTGACACTCTGCACCAGCAAAAACCCAAAGATCTCCCAGATCCAACGAGGACAAGACTGCAGGGTGTAAAACACCTTGAAACATCGTCTCTGGACCAGGGATGTCCCTGCAAGGAGTTTCCTCTCCTTGGTCCCCCCATGCACCTCCCTGACAATGCTGGGGGTTGCACAGCCCGGGAAGACCATGAGCCGTGGACTTGCAGATATTCTGGCAGCATTTTGGAAATTGCTGGTGGTTTCTCACCAGGAAACATCTCATCTCCAGGCAACGGAGCTGCAAGAGTTAAAAGCCTCCTTTCCTTCCTCAAAGCAGACAGGGTCCCGACATTTGCAGTGGAGGACAAAGGATGGGGAGAGATGCAAGCGAGCTCTAAGCCAGTTTCAGCTCAATTAAAGCAACCGGTGTCTTTAGGAAAGAGCCCTTGGGGTTTCACCAGAGCGGTGTTTTTTCCAGTGACCCCAGAAAAAGGAGTCTAACAGATGTAAACTCCTCACAGCCCTGCGTCTTCCTGGAGCCTGACAAAGAGGAGGGATTATTTTTCAGCTTGCACCCCTGATTTGCTTTTGCCAAGGCTTGTTTTCATTTTTGTTCTGTAATTCTCGGCCACACTGAGCCTGGGGATTTGAAAAGCCCCTTAGACAAGCAAGTGACGCCTTTGTGTGCACGCTGGTGCTCTAGCAGCAGATCGGCTTCTTGTTTAATTCAGTGTTCACAGTATTATTCTGTATCCTGGTTACGACGAGACCCTTGGTTTTCTCAGGCCTCTCACGAAGCGATTCCTTTGTTCACCTGAGCAGCTTGTCAGTTCCCTGAGGATTCTTTTTCCCCAAAATTTCTGGATTTTTTTCCATCTGATATATTGCAGCTCTTTGCATGTGACTAGGCAGAGGTTCAGACTGTTCGCCTGCTTGGAGGCAGAAATGCAGAAGGGAGGCAGAAATGCAGAAGGGAGGTACAAATGCGAAAGGGAGGTAATAATTCCTTTCTCATACACCCACATAAATGCTTGCAAGGATGCACATGGACACTTGTCTGCCCCATCCATCCATCCATCCACCCTTCTCCAGGCAGAGGTTGCTCGTGTCCCCCCATGCTCGACAGTGACGCACCCTTGCGTTGTTTGCCCACCTCCGTGGCTGTGACTGAAACGCGTCCACGTCGCATCACTTGCAAACACAGGTGACCTGCCCGTGCTCGTCCCTTCTGCTTGTCCCTTCCTGCTGTGCACAGGGTGGTTTGTCAGGGAACGGGGTAAACAAAGCCTGGCTCACGTGCACAGACGCCTCATGCTCTCTGAGGACACCCGAGTATTGCAAAATTGGTAAGACACAGGCACTCGAAGGCAGGATTGGGTCCTGAGGGAAGTTTGCTTCCCAGATTTGGGTGAAAAAGCATGAAATCTTCACCATCTAACCACGTGGTGAGTCACGTTGGCATAAAGTCGGTGACACCTCCCGGCAGCGTCCCTCTTCTCCCCAGACGGGAGGGTGGCTGCGGGCAGCCACCACCGCCACTTCACGTTGCACAATCCCCTATATTGTAACGCAGGGCAAATACCGACGGGCGACTTTGCACTTTGCGTTCGCCACTTGCGGAGCTTCCTTCTCCTTCCGAGACGAGCGCGCGGAGCCCAGGATGAAGGTTGAGTTTGCTCCGCTCTCCGTGCCACTGCGGAGGAGGCTTCAGACGGCGTCGGTGGTGCAATGGGTCTTCAGCTTCCTAGGTCTGGGTAAGAGACATCTCCTTTTCCTTCTCCCAGAAGCCAGAGCGGCTTTTCCCTTAACCCCTTCTCTCCCCAACCCCGAGGAAGACCTAGCACTGAAGGTCTGGGACCGAAGGCAAGTGGCACTAAAGGCATCTTCTGGGAGCCAGCAGTGAATCCCAGGCCACGTTAGGACAAGCAGTTAACAGCAGACGTTGCGCTCGCACGTCTCTGTCTCCCTGCACGAAGAGCAGCGTGGGAGGCTCTGTCTCACTGAAGAAGGTTTTTTTTTAGCTTTTTTTTTTATGTTGTTCCTTCTCGCCACCGGATCTGAGCACGGTGACACTAGGGAAGTGCATATCTGCACGTCTGCGCTTGGGCATCTCTGCTAAACCTATTTTCAGTTTCTCCTGCTCTTTAGATTTAGTGTTATCCCGGTCTAAGGTCCCGCCCTGCTCGGCGTTAGCCATGAGGAATGTCATTCCATCACCTGGGGGATGGTAGGATGGGAAGAGCTTGGGCGACTCTGCTTTGTAACCCTAAGAACAGACGCTTCACTTCATACAGATGCCCCTGCACACCCCTAAAGGGCATTTTTCCAGGAAAACCCCAGCAGGTTGGGGAGGAGACACATTAGCAACGTGGGACCCAGGCAAAATCACTGCTGTGTGGAGGGCATCAGATGCTGCCAGAGACAGCAGATGGGAGACATGCAGTTTTGGGTAGGATGCACTGGGAAACACGGAGATGGGAGACGCCCAGCCAGGTTATCAGAGAGTGTAAACCATCTAGTGTGATTTACAGCCCATCAGGAGCCAAGCTGGAAGGTGACTCCTAAAGTTTCCCATTGTCGTGTTAATTCTTAATCTCAGATGGGATCTATGTAAAGCTTCTGCTTTACTGGGGCAGGGCAGTTGTTGTCCAGTCCCAGCACACAAAGGCAGCAGATCTGTGTATGTATGGGTCATGGCACACAAACATCTCCAAAACAATGCCTGCAAAGAAAGCAGAGGCTATACAGAATCACAGAATCACAGAATCACAGAATGTTCAGGGTTGGAAGGGACCTCTGTGGGTCATCTAGTCCAACCCTCCTGCCGAAGC